CTCCTTAGCTGGCGTCATGGCTAGTTCTTCAGAACAGCTAAGATACAATTCTCACCTGATATAAACTCTTCCAGGAAAGTTAAACAGAGGACCCCTCACCCAGGCACTGAAACTCAGCGGGAAGGAAATCACACACACAGATGTGAAAATCCTAGGAAGACACTATCAGAAGACATCCAGCCCTGTGGAAAAGGATGGAGCCTGTCCTGGTCAGGTTGAGCCTGGAAAGACAAACTTCTACAGAACGTGGGCCAGTTTCTGTAGCTTCTCACCTTAGTAGATGAGAGAGGAGTCATACCTCGAAAGATGTAGGGATGACATTCGATAACATTGAGTATCCACTTAGGATTTTTCTTTTTTTCAGATGGAGCCTCACTCTTGTTGTCCACGCTGGAGTGCAGTGGCGCTATCTTGGCTCACTGCAACCTCCACCTCCCAGGTTCAAGTGATTCTCCTGCCTCCACCTCCCGAGTAGCTGGGACTACAGGCTGCGCCACCATGCCTGGCTAATTTTTGTTGTTATTTTTTAAATAGAGACACGGTTTCACCATGTTGGCCAGGCTGGTCTCTAACTGCTGACCACAAGTGATCTGCCCGCCTTGGCCTCCCAAAGTGCTGGGATTACAGGTGTGAGCCACTGTGCCCGGACCCACTTATGATTTTAAAGGTTCTTAGCAAACAAAGAACCAAAGGTGCCTCTGGGGCCTGAAACGGTGTTTGGGCGTCAGGCTTCATGCTGAAATGTTGAAAGCATTCTTCTGAAGGTGAAGAACAAGACCAGGGTAGCTGCTGTCACCTTCATATAAACCGGGGTGATGCAAGCTGGTTTTTGTTAGTTTATAGATGGTCTCACTCAGTCACCCAGGCTGGCATGCAGTGGTATGACTGTGGCTCACTGCAGCCCCCACCTCCTGGGCCCGGGCCTGGACCATTTGCTGAGTGTGGCATGAGCTGCGTGGATTCTAAATAGACCGTGCACCGGCACAACTCACAGCTATGTGGAAGAACGCGCTTCCTCCATCTTGGGTCTTTGCTTGGTCCAGTGCAGCCACAAACACGTGCATGCACGTGCAGCACTTGCTGAGCTTATCCACACGCTGCTGGGCTCCGCTTATCCTCTGAGCACGCCCGGGGCGACTCGGCGTGGATGCACATCGGTGCTGCCTCTCACGGACCACGTGACATGCCACGGAGCGTGTGGGTCCCACGCTCGCAGCTGCTCTGCCATCTCCAGCACGTTCTTGTCACAAGGCTGCGCTGAATGGTGTGCCGGGAAGGTGCAGTGCGCATGCAGCCTGTGCTTCCAGAAAGAGAATTGGCGGGCGTCTCAGTCTACGCAGCTGCTGCGGTGAAACACCACAGCCTGCGAGCCTGCAGACACAGGAGCGTGCTGCTCAGCTCTGGAGGCTGGAAGTCCAAGGTCAAGGTGGAGCAGATTCTGTGTCTGGCGGGAACACTTTCTGGTTCATGGACAGTGCCTCCTCACCGTGTCCTCACGAAACGGTCTCTCTAGGGCCCCTTTTATTTATTTTTGTTTTATTAGTGTTTTAACTACAGCTCACTGCAGCCTTGACCTCCCAGGCTCAAGTGGTCCTCCCACCTCAGCCTCCTGAGTAGCTGGGACCACAGGCATGCACCACCGTGCCTGGCTAATTTTTAAATATTTTGTAAAGACCAGGTCTCAATATGTTGCCCAGGCTGGTCTTGAACTCCTAACCTCAGGTGATCCTCCCACCTTGGCCTCCCCAAGTGCTGGGATTACATGCGTGAGCCGCTGCGCCCAGTCTGGACTCTATAAGGACATAATCCTGTTCACCACCTAATCATCTTCCAGAGGCCCCATCTCTAATGCCACCACTTCGATGGTGTTAGGTTTGAGCATATGAATGTCGGGAAGATGCAAACATTCAGAGCCCTGCGGTGGGTTATATGTCGGTCTGGAATTCCAGCCATGGAAGTGTCTCCCCGTGTCTTTAACAATATTCTCATCACGTTTGATATGTGCTTATTAATTAATGAAGCATAATGTATCTATTTATATAATATATATATTTTCCTGAGATGGGGTGTTGCTCTGTTGCCTGGGCTGCTCTCCAGTTCTGGGGCTTAAAGGACCCTCCTGTCACGGTCTCCGGAGCGGCTGGGACAGCAGACACAGCACGTCTTGGAGCGGGGCTGAGTGTCGGCTCATGGGTTTGAAGAGCCAGTTGGTTTCCTTCCCTTGACCTGTGGGTTTATACTCACTGTCGGTCTTCATTCGGTTCGTTTGTTATTGGTTTATAGGAAGAGATTTGCATCCAGACACACGTACAGACACACACGTGTGCACAGCGCCGGGCCTTGGTCTGGATGCCAGTTGCAGGGTTTGCCTCAGGTGTCGTTCATCAGTTGGTCTCTGGACTTTGCGCCGTCTCTGTTTTGTTTTTGCCATGCAGAGATTTTTATACTACTTTTTTTTTTTTTTTTTTTAAAGACGGGGTTTCACCATGTTGGTCAGGCTGGTCTTGAACTCCCGACCTGGGTGATCTGCCCACCTTGGCCTCCAAAGTGCTTGGATTACAGGCATTGGCCACCACGCCCGGCCTGATTTTTATACTTTTAAGTAGTCAAATGTATTTGCTTTTCAGTGTCTTCTGGGTTCTGAGTGTCTTGGAAGAAAGCCTCCCAGTTCTGAGGTTGTGTTGGGAACCACACCTCCCTTCTTCAGCCGTTGTGGCAGGTTCCTGTCCTGAGAGCCGCACCTGTCAGGAGGGTCTGGGCCTCCTTCCTGGGCCTCCTCTGCTGGGCTCACGCCCCGAGATCACCCGTCATGCTCCCCAGTATGCCCGTTGGCCCTGTCTGCCTGTTAATCCTCAGACCTGCAACCCCCGAGGCTCTGAGTTCCCCCGGTTGGCCAATGCTGAGCCCACCCTGACAGTAAAGGGGGCATGGGGCAGGGGCCACCCGGGGCGGAAGAGGTGAGCGGCGGGGGCTTAAGAAGGCGTGGTCAGAGCAGCACAGCACGAAGTGACTACTCCAGGGAACCACGTCGCCCTCGGGCCTCAGGCCGTCCCCCATGGCTCCTGGGGTGGGGGTCACTGTCCCTCCACACCCTTTTGCCAGTGCTGACAGCCCACCCTGCCTGGCCTTGGATCAGGGTCAGTCCCCTGCGGCTGCGTTTATAGAGCTGCCTCTGATGGAGGGGTGTCCTGGGGCCGGAGGGGAGGGCAGCGGCCCAGCAAGTCTCCAGGTGCAGCCACACTTGCTGCCCTGCTGTCCACCTGCTCCAGGGACGCCCTAGGGAAGGCTGGAGGACTCAGCTTGTCACCGTCAAACCAGTTCTCAGTGCCCCGGCGTGCTCCGGCCTCACCCTGACCAGTGTGGGCGAGGTGGTGGGTCACAGGGAGGGGGCAGGGCAGGCTGATATTCTCAGTCCCCATTGACAGGGAGGGAGGGCTGGCTCTGGTAGATGGGGCTCCTCCTCTCCTCCCCTCCCCCTCCCCTTCCTAGCGCCCTCCAGCTCCCGCCTCCCTGTCCCCCGTCCATACTTGTGGAGGGCCCGTGCCAGCCTGGCTCTGGGGGTTTTCTGGGACAATGGCTTGGGCTTGTGGGTCCTGGCAGGTCCAGGCCTGGGGAGAGGCACAGGTGGGAGGCTGTCGTCGTCCTGAGAGCTATTCTGGGCACAGCTGTGGCATTCCGTCTGGGGATGGAGGTCCCCGCCTGCAAGCTGCCTTCGTGTGTGGAGTGCAGGTCACCTGGCCCTGCTCCCTAGCCTGCCCCCCATCCCTGCCCGGCTTTGTGTGCCCAGCTGTTCTGGGAGAGCCCATCGCTGGACCTGGGACTTGGAAGCATCTGTGCATGGATGCCCACAGCGCCACCGGTGCTCCTGTCCTGACCCTGAGGGTGTCCGAGGGGACCTTGTGCACTGCCTCCTTCCCTCACCCCAGGCCTCTCCCAGCGTCAGCCCACGGCAGCGTCTAGGCTCCGAGACTGGCCGGTCCTTCCTGCCTTCCCCATGGGGCCTGGGGACCCTGACGTTCAGTGTGGGGACACTGGGCTGGCAGGTCTGACACAGAGCTGCAGAGCCTGGGCAGTCAGTCCCAGGATAGACAGGTGACATGGGGCGGGCTCGGGGCTTGGGCGGCCTTGGCTCAGTGTGGACTGGGCTGGGCCAGGGTGGGGTGCGAGGGAAGCCTGTGCAGTGAGCCCAGCAGCGGCGGCCTGGCGACATCAGGCACCCAGCGGGGTGGAGCCAGGTGCCCGGGGCAGTGGAGGTTGGGGGTGTGTCCTCAGTGCTGGGGCGGTTCGGGCCTCGTGTAAAGATGAGGGTGGTGTGCCTTAGCTCAGAGGCCCTCAGGGGTGGCTTAAGGGATGGTTTAGCTGGGGTCTGTCCTGCAAAGGAGGATGTCCGGGCTTGGGGAGGTGAGGGGAGTGGAGGGAACCGAGAGCCAGCTTCTCAGTGCCACACACTGAGCCACTGAGGAGGGGACCCTGAGAATATCTGCACAGACTGTAGGAGTGCTAGGAGGCTGCAGGGCCCACAGGACCGGGGGACATCCCAGCGGGTCATGGCGGGGGGCGGGTGACCTCACGCTGGGTCCTGTGGGTCAGCTGAGGCTGAAGAGGATGGAGGGTGTGGCAGATGCCCATCAGGCATAGCTTGGGGTTCAGGTTCCAGAACCTCCTCCCTGCCCACAGTTCTGGGTAGGGTTGTCCTCTTACGTATGTGTGTGTTGTGGGGATCTCGTCCGTCCAGTGTGCCCAGAGTCAGCTAGACTCCCTGAAACTGTGGGGGTGGAGTCAGCAGCAGAGTCAGCCCTGCGGTTGCTGAGACCATGCTCGCTGGAGTGGGGGCCGTGGGTGTCCCTCCCCCTCCCCTGCCTGGCTTATCCTGGGTTCTCTGTGCCCCTCTCGCCCGTGGATGGTCACACCTGTCCCCTGTCCCCTGGCCACCGAGACACCTGGCCCGGCTCCGGCAGGGCTTCCCGGGGCCGGGCTCACACTGACCTCTCCGCGCCCAGGCTGACAGGCAGCGAGCCCCTGACTGTCCTCCCACTGACCCTGGAGCCCGAGGCGGCCGCCCAGGCGCACTACAAGGCCTGCGACCGGCTGAAGCTGGAGCGGAAGCAGCGGCGCATGTGCCGCCGGGACCCGGGCGTGGCAGAGACGCTGCTGGAGGCCGTGAGCATGAGCGCGCTGGAGTGCCAGTTCCAGTTCCGCTTTGAGCGCTGGAACTGCACGCTGGAGGGCCGCTACCGGGCCAGCCTGCTCAAGCGAGGTGAGTGTGGCCGGCCCGGCCCTCAGGGAGGCCGGGGCAGAGGTGGCAGCCCAGGCCTCGTCCGTGTCTCAGGAGGCCCCTCTTGGGCTGCACTCCTGGGGACCCTCCTGCCAGAGGAAAGAGTAGCCCCTGACCTCTCTGGGCACCACCTGCCCTGCGCTGCTGTAGGCACAGTCATTGCTGGTGGCCAGGATATGCTGGCTCGGCCTTTGACAGGGACCCAGGCTGCCCCGGGCTGCCCTGATAGCCCTTGGCTTCTGCCAGATGGCCCAGTGCCCAGTGGGCTGTGCCTGTGCAGACCCTCCTCCCACCCCTCCCGCCCTCATGGGGGCCCTCCACCGCCTAGTTTCAGCCACCCTCCCACCTGGGGCTCTTCCCACCCCCTCCCAGGGGCTCTCCACCGCCTGTTTCAGCCTTGGGAGTAGCTGGGGCTGCAGCCGTGTGCCCCCGTACTGCAGCACAGCAGCTCGTTTAAAAACTGGGGACCCGAGGCCCAGGGCAAGGCAGAGCTTACCAGGGGCCCCATGATGAGGCTGGGAGGTTCAAGGCCCGACGAGGACTGTGACCACGGACCTGGAGCCGTGGCCAAGACGGCTCTGGTTTCTCCCCAGCCCAGCCAGCCCTGCGCCTGGGGCACGCCCACATCCTGTCCCGAGTGCAGCCCCAGGAAAGATGATTGGAGCCCCCACATGGGATTCATACCCTTGGGGTGGTTTGGCTCAGCACAGTGAAGGGGGAGCTCACTGACCCGCCCCTGCCGACCGCAGGCTTCAAGGAGACCGCCTTCCTCTATGCCATCTCCTCGGCCGGCCTGACCCACGCACTGGCCAAGGCGTGCAGCGCGGGCCGCATGGAGCGCTGTACCTGCGACGAGGCGCCCGACCTGGAGAACCGTGAGGCCTGGCAGTGGGGGGGCTGCGGGGACAACCTCAAGTACAGCAGCAAGTTCGTCAAGGAGTTCCTGGGCCGGCGGTCCAGCAAGGATCTGCGAGCCCGTGTGGACTTCCACAACAACCTAGTGGGTGTGAAGGCAAGTGGGGCGGGGCGCGGGGCTGGCGCGTGGGAGGGGAGGGCCAGAAAGAGCGTCATGGGGGTGGGGTGGGGTGAGGTGGGGCTGCTGCAGGCCGGGGTGGCACATAGCAGAGTGTTCCCTGTAGGAGGATGGAGGCTGTACAGTGCCAGCCAGGGCCCTGGAACCTCTCATGCCCATATGGCTCCCTACCCACCAAACAGGGCACTAGCCATGGAGGGGTGCCCCGTGTCTTCCTGGACCCCATGGGGCCCCAGGAGGGTCTTCCTGGTTAGGCGGTCTAACCAGGATCATGGGACTGTGGGTCTCATGTGCCAGCCAGTCAGCAGGCTTGTCTCCAAGACTGGTGGGAGGAAGACATGCCCCCACAGACCAAGGTGGTAGGCAAGGTGGGCAGGGGGTCCCAGGGAAGGGCTAGGGTATGGTACCCACTCACCCAAGTGGGCGAGTCCAGTTCTTCCCAGCAGCCCTCTCCGTGGCCAGGCCTCTGTTCTGGGGGACAGTATCCTGCCCTAAAGTCTTGGAGGTAAAAGGAATCAGTTCTCTCCTGAGCCCTTCGGCAGGCGGAGGGCACTGGCTGCGGCCGTAGCTGGCCCGGGGTGACCGTGGCTGCCTGCAGCCCTTCAGTGCCCAGGTCTACGTGTCTGGAGGAGCCGGGGCTGGACCTGTAACCCCACTCCGCACAGAGCCCCCGGCATCTCCGCAGTCCCTGAGCAGGGATGGGCAGGGTGGGCACCTCTGTTGGAAGCTGAGGGGCGCTTCTCCCTCCTGCCCTCATCTTCATATTCGCTGGGCAGGCCAGGAATGTGGAGCCTCAGCCTGGGGAGGGCGAGGTAATAAGAGCCGGCCCTGCTCTGAGCCTTACTTGTGGAGAAGTCCGAATACCCAGTCGCCCCCTTTCTAAAGGATCAGCCCCCCTTTTTTGGGCCTCTTGTGCCTCCTTATGCCTTCTTGGGATGGCTGGTGGGCAGGGAAGAGGCTGCAGAGTGGATTCAAGCCTCAGGCAAGGCTCCTTCTTTTCCTTTGTGCCTGACCCCTTCCCTTCTTCACGCTTTGTAAGAGGTGAATGAGTAGGCGGAACGTGGAGGGTGAGCCCTTAGCTCCACAGAGCCTGGGTCAGCCACATTTTAATTAGATTGGTCCCAGCTTCTCTGCAAAGCATCATTAAAGGTGACTCTTCGGGTGCCGGCCAGAGGCGGCTGCCATGTCTTTATCCTCCTTGAGCCAGCCCTCCTGGGGGCTGCTGGCCTGGGAGCTGAGCCGCCTGGCTCGGGTCCCACCTGGGAAGGGGCCTCCCCACCAGGCCATCTTTGCAGGTGGGGCCCTAAGTCCCAGGAGGGGACAGACCCAGCCAGGCTTCTGTAGCAGCCCCCAGTATGGATTGTGGGTACCTGGCCCTCCCTGCCGTGGGTGAGGGGTGCACCCCTCTCTGGGGCCGGCCTGGACCCTCTCTAGAGGCATAAGGGGCTCTCTCCCCTGCAGTGTGGGCCTCCCTGCTCTTGCCGTGCCTGCACTGGCCTCCCAGCATCCTGACTCAGAGCGCTGGTGGGCTGGGGGCCGCGTCTGCACGTGATAGCACCTGGTTCCCGATTCTAGGGGTAGGGAGGTCACGGTCAGCTCTCTCATACGCCACTGGGTGAGGCCACGCTTGTCCTCACCTGTCTAGCGAGCCTTGTGCTGAGAGCAGACGTGAAGTCTGGGTGGGACTGGGATTATGAGCACGGGGACAGAAGGTCCAGCCCCTGTCGAGGGCAGCCCCCAATGCAGGGTGTGTATCAGGCAGGAGCCCCCTCGTGGAGGTGCAGGGGCGGCCACCCTGGGGGCTGAGGTGCCTGGAGCCTCTGTCCCGGGCAGTCAGCAGCCTGGAGGAGGCAGAGTGGCCCTGCATGCCAGGAGCCTGAGCTGGATGTGAGAGGCGCAGTGGTGGCCTGGGCAGAGGTGCGGGGTCCGCCGGGGCGTCAGGGGCGGGGGCCGCTCACTGGGCCCCCCGCACAGCCCTCACGCTGTCCTCCCTCCTGCTCCCTCCTGCCAGGTGATCAAGGCCGGGGTGGAGACCACCTGCAAGTGCCACGGCGTATCGGGCTCCTGCACGGTGCGGACCTGCTGGCGGCAGCTGGCGCCCTTCCACGAGGTGGGCAAGCACCTGAAGCACAAGTATGAGACGGCACTCAAGGTGGGCAGCACCACCAACGAGGCTGCGGGCGAGGCAGGCGCCATCTCCCCACCCCGGGGCCGCGTCTCGGGGGCGGGTGGTGGTGACCCCCTGCCCCGCACTCCGGAGCTTGTGCACTTGGACGACTCACCCAGCTTCTGCCTGGCCGGCCGCTTCTCCCCAGGCACTGCTGGCCGCAGGTGCCACCGTGAGAAGAACTGTGAGAGCATCTGCTGCGGCCGTGGCCATAACACGCAGAGCCGGGTGGTGACGAGGCCCTGCCAGTGCCAGGTGCGCTGGTGCTGCTACGTGGAGTGCCGGCAGTGCACGCAGCGTGAGGAGGTCTACACCTGCAAGGGCTGAGTCCCCAGGCCCCGCCAGCCCTGCTGCCTGGGGTGCTGGCATTGCACACGGCGTGGAGGGTCTCCACCTGCAAGGCTGAGTG